TCGTCTTCTCCTCCTCTTCCTCGTCATCCTCCTCCTCCCGTGACCGTCATCAGCATCATCGCCGTCACCATCATCAACAACATAATTGCCATCAGCATCAGCATACATTCATCATCATGACCATGATCATCATCACCAGCAGCATCATCATCATGTTCAGCATAATCATCATTATCAGCATCAGCATCGTCATCGTCATCGGTATCATCAGCAGCATCAGCATCCGCATCATCATCATCATCAGCGTCACACTCGTCAGCAGCATGATCATCGCCGCCGTCATCATCATCATCATCGTCGTCGTCGTCGCCATCACCACTGTCATTTTCATCATCAACAAGTTCACCATCATTTTCATCATCATCGTCATCAGCATCATCATCATCAATATCGTCAGCAGCAACATCATCAGCATCATCATCATAGTCAGCGACATCATCGTCATCATCATCACCAGCATTGTCAGTACCACCATCATCCTCGTCATCATCATCAGCATCATCACCGTCATCATCATCAGCAGCATCATCGGCATCAGCATCATCTTCAACAGCATCATTAGCAGCATCAGCATCACCATCATCATCGTCATGGTCGTCACCATCATAATCATCATCATCAGCATGATCATCATCAGCATCATCATCATCATCATCATCATCATCATCATTCTCATCGTCACCCGGACGACCTCGTTCTGTGTCGCCCTCGCAAAGAAGGGCGGCAACGCGCAGCAGGGAGAAGGCGAGCAGAACACAGGAGGCACAGCGGCAACTGGCAGGGGGGCGCGGGGAGCGGGGGTTGTTGAAGCGCAGACAGGTTTGACAGGCGTATTTGATGTGATCACGGCTCGGGCCTTCGGGCCGCTCCTTTGGGAGGAGGAGGAGGAGGAGGAGAAGGAGGAGGACGAGGAGGAGGAGGAGGAGGAGGACGAGGAGGAGGAGGAGGAGGAGAAGGAGGAGAAGGAGGAGGAGGAGGAGGAGGAGGAGGTGGAGGAGGAGGAGGAGAGGGGGAGGGGCCACCTCGGCGCGCGGAGCGCAGACTCCCCGGCCCTATCGGAAGCTAGCCGGGCTCGCAGGCGCGGTGGGTGAGAAATGGACCGAGCAGCCTGCCTTCCTCTTCCTCCTCCTCCTCCTCCTCCTCCACCTCCTCCTCCTCGGCATCATCATTAGCATAACCATCATCCTCAGCAGCAGCAGCATCAGCATCGTCATCATCACCATCATCATCAGCAGCATCGTCAGCATCGTCATCACCATCGTCACCATCATCATCAGCAGCATCATCAGCAGCATCATCCTCATCATCAACATCAATATCAGAACCAGCATCATCACCATCAGCATCATCATCATCAGCATCAGCATCAGCATCACCATAACCCTAGCCACCCTGGCTCTTGTTCTTTTTGGCGCTTGGCTTTTAATCTGCACCTGATTTCCTGTGGCTCCGCCGTGCAGTGCCACGCCGCGGGCGCCTCGGGTGGCTGGAGCGGCAGGTTCCGGGCGGTTGCCGTGCTCCCCTGACCGTCAGTCAAGCTGCGGATGGCTCGAACCTCGTGTGGTCGACGCAGAAAAAGCGAGGTCATCTGCGCCGACATTGGCGCGTAAGCTGCCTGCGTAGGGCCGCGCGTAGGCGCGGTCGCTTCAAGTGTGGCGTGCCGCGTGGGCGGCCCGCGTAAGACACCGCGCAAGGTCGCCACGTCATCTCGCGTAAGACCCGTGTTGGATCGCCGCTCGAGCATCGATTTGTGCTTTGTCCAGCTGGTGCAGGCGCCGCGCCACCTCTCCTGCAAGCCCATCTCTGCGGGTCACTCGACCAACTTCGAGGCATCTCAGCCCCACGCGTCGTCGTCGACCGTGGGCACCGATTCCCTTCTGGGTCGGTTGAGGCTGGTTTTGGCTTCAGCCTGTTCGGCGAGCTGGTGACGCTTGAGGTGCCGATCCTCCTGGACCAACTAATCATCGAGACGATCACCCTGATGAAGATGGCCACCGTAGTTCTGGTCATCGGAGTCGCCCCGCTGATGGGCAACCTCCTGGCGGTGCTGATCCTTGGCATGCTGGGCTTGTCGACCCTTGGTCTTCGTGGGGCCCTGGTGTTTTGGGGAATTTGGAACACGCCAGCGCTTCCGCAGTGGTCCGCATCTTCCTGCTGGGGCTCATCACCCTGCTGGTTCTCATCTTCCTGCTGGTTCTCATCTTCCTGCTGGACTTCATTTTCCTGCTGGAGCTGATCGCCGGAGTGACGAACATGTTGGCGCCGAGCCTCGGACAGGAGACCTCGGTGCGTGTGCCAGTTGCGGCGTACATCGGCGAGATCAGCATCGGCGCCAACATTGCCCTTGCCGCCGTCATTCTCATCATCGTCACCAGCATCACTACTATCATCATCTCGTCTACCGTTGTTGACGTCGCCAGTCTACCGCGCCCGCCACAGTCACCGACTCGCACTGAAGTGCCCGCGCGGCAGCGCGGCTTGCGAGACGTGATGGGAAGTCCCCAGCGGTCATCGCCACCGCGGCCGCGTCGGTCGCGTCAGACTATCTGGCCGCTCTGCGCGCGAGCCTGCTCGCCAGCGCGGCCGCGGCGATGCGTCAGCCAGCGCCGAACAGTCATCGTAATTGCCGCCGCATGGATTTTGTAAGCGGGGTTGCAGGTGGGTGGGTGGAAATATTGCGCGAGCAGCGGGGTTGACACTTGCAAGTTCGGCAAGGTGAAATGCACCACGTGGAGTGCACCACGTAGATTCATAATGGGGTCCACGCTGACTACTATTTGAGTCCAGGTTTGGTGAGACAGCCATTTCTATGCTTCTCCATGGCCGAACCGGCCGAATCTACACATGTATATGTATACACGTATATGCATATACATATACATATATATATATATATATATATATATATATATATATATATATATGCATATGTATACACATGAATATCCAACAGGTGGCCTCCAGATGCTTCTCATGTGAATCCGGCCATGTGTGTTTCCAGTTTCTTGCGCTGTCTGACGCCAGCCATCCCCACAGCGTTGTACTTTTCCAGCGTCGGATCTTACGGTCAGCTGCCTCGCCCCTCTCTCCCTTTTGTTTCCCCCTGGTGGGTCGGGCAAGCAGGCGGGCGGAAATGGTCATGTTGCGCCACCTCGTGCCGCCCCAGAGTCGAGAACGGCACCTGCCCATTCCGTCGTTGCGCGTGCTTTCCTCCCGCCGCCATGGCCCCTCCCCGCCCTCCTCCCGCCGTGGCCAGACATTAAGTAGTACCCCCTACGCAGCGCAATGCATGAAGCCGTCGAAATATTGCGCAGATGTGCGAAAGCTCGCAAGCGCTGCCCGCTCGCGCTCGTCGTCGTTGGGCCACGCTGGCTGGTGTTCCTTCCAGCACGCGGGAGTGCCCACGTCTGCGGGCATGTCGTTGCTGCTGTGTGCCCCGCCCCGCGCGTCCAACGCATGCCCCTCCCCCCTCCAGCCTGCCCCCCCTCCCGCCGCCATGGCCCCCGCGGCGACGTCCGCGGCACCGCCGGCGGCCCGTTGGGCCCCGCAGCGGCCAGCCGCGGAGGAGCCAGGCGGGTGCTCGGAGGAGGACGGGAGCGGCCACGCCCAAGCGCCAAGGCGCCTCGGAGCCGGGCGACGACGACGACGACGACGACGACGACGACGACGACGACGACGAGCGACGAGCGACGAGCGACGAACGACGACGACGACGACGACGACGACGACGACGACGTGACGACCGACGACGACAAGCGACGGCAATTAGCGACGAGCGACGAAGACGACATGCGAAGATCTACGTCGACGACGACGAGCGAAGGGCGACGAGAGCAGCGGGCCCCAAGAGATCTTCGAAGGAGGCCCCGGGCAGACGGAGAGGCATCCAAGGTGACAAGATGGCCCTTGGAGGGGGAGGGGGGCCCGCACATCTGGCGGCGACGGGAGGGCCGAACAAGAATCGAGTCGGCCGGTGATGCAGTTGCTCATGCCTCCAGGGCTTTCGGGCTGTGGAGGAGCGTTGGAACACGACTCGGGATGGAAGCCCGGCGGCAGGGTGGAAGGCGCACTCAGGCCTTGGGGGAGGAGGGGGTGCGAGGACAGGGGACGGCCACGCGCGGCCAACGAACCCAGACATGCGGCGTCCCGATTTGTTCTGCAGGACTGCGTCCCTGGAAGTCCCGACCCCTTCCCCGGGACCGTTGTTTTTTTGTCCCGAGTCGTCTTCTGACTGTCCCGAGGCCCCGCGAGGCCCCCCGGGCCGAAAGTAGCCAACAACTTCCCGTCTGTTTTTGTGTGTGTGATTGTACATGTATATATATATGTATATACAAGACGTTACCGGCTCGCTGCGCTTCGCCTTTAAAATCTTGGTCGCATGGCGCCAGGGAGTCGCGATGATATCGGTTGTCGTCACAGCCGCGGTGCGTGTTGGCCATGGAGACCATGGAGCAAACAGGGCTGATAGGACCAAGGGAAGATTGCGGCTCAAAGAGCTCAGAAGGGGTCTCTGCCGTCATGGGGCCCAAGGGCTCGGAGCCCCCATTTTAGGTGAGGGGCAATGCTGCCGATGCGGCTCTAGGGGGGCATGAGACTCACATGGTGCACAGGGCTCATGGGTTCGTTGGGGTCATGGGACTGTTTGTGCACATCGGGCACGGGGCTCATAATGCTGAGTGGCTTTTGCAGAGGTCATGGGGGTCATAGGAGGCTCATGGTGCTTGTAAGGGTCCTGGGGCTCCTTGGAGTCATCAGCTCTTGGGGGCCATTGGGCTCGTAGAGCTCGCAATGCTCCGGGGGGCCATAGGGCCCATAGCGCTAACAGAGCGCGTAGGCCTCGTAGGGCTCATGGGGCCGATTGGGGTGCGGGGGCAAGTCGGGGCCATAGGGCTCATAGGGCCCATAGGCCTACTGGGCTCGTAGGGCTCAGAGGGGGTTCTCATTGGTCTCGCAAGGCTTCACGGCTCCTAGTGCTGAGGGGGTTCTAGGGCTCATAGGGC